TGATCACACCTAATCCTAAGGAAAGCTGGAAAATCTACTCTTTCTGTTGGGTGGTCATGGGCTTAATTAAAATTCAGAGAATTACTGAAGTGTAAAATGGATGTTGGGAGACAACTGGGTATTTCTGCCATAGTCCCTTACAGTCTATTCTGTACTCAGCAGTCAGTGATCCTTTCAAGACATAAACCAGATCGTATCACAGCCTTTCATAAAATCTTCTAATACAGTCCCATTACATTTAGTCCATACCCCTTACTCGGACTTCAGAGGTCCTTAGTGATTTAGCATCTAACCACTTCTCTGACCTCCCAGTTGCTACCTATTGCTACACGGGCCTTCTTCCCATTACTTCAATATACCAAGCTAATTCTTGCCTTAGGGACTAGCTTATTCTTTTTGCCTAGAATCTTTCTGCATGGCTGGTTCCTCCTGTCATTCAGGTCTTGTGAGGCCTTTCTGACTTCTAAAAAAGCTCTACATTTTCTCCTTCATCCTTCTTTATTATATAAATACTGTAATTATTATTTATATCGCTCGGTATTTTCTTGCTCATTATTTGTCAAGACCTACCAGAAAGAGGAGCCTTGTCTGATTCACTGATGCATCTCTAGGGACTAGAAGACTGCCTGGCCCACAATATCATTCAATAAAAGTTAGATGAATAAGCATGACTAAGCATGACCGTGATTAGGTCTTTTTTGTAACTACAACATACAGTGCAGAGTCCATCCTGCATTAACGAATTAAGAAGCAAGCATCTTGGTTAACAGTAGTCACACAGATGATCCCGCTTCTTTTATCTAATAAGCATAAATCAAGGGATAAATCAAAGAATTGATTTTTATTTTTCTTTTCAGATATCTAGCCACTCCTCTTACTTTTCTCAAGCTGGCTCAATTTACCTCTGTTAGTAATTAAATGTGCCTCTTTCTAATAAGCCTTCCTGTTTTAAGCACCAAACCATTAAATGTAAAGTTTGTAGAATCTATCACGAGGTGCCAGGGTGCAACCACCGCCTAACTGGTCTCCAGCTCTCCACTCTTTGGTATAATGAAAGCAGACTGGAGTTCCATGAGAGTCCACGTACTACTTGAGGTAGTAGTAACTTGTTTTCAGTAAACTATGTTCCACAGAACAGAGTACTCAAATTTAATCAAACTCAATTTTACTTATTGGTTAAGAAAGAAGATGGACTTGGCAAACTTTGGGATCATTCCAGCCTACATATGCTAATCAGACTGCCAACCATTTTAAGAAAGAGTAACCATAGCAGAAGCATTTTCCTTCCTGCAGAGTGTGACAATCTCCTTGCTGGCCAAATGCTCTTAAGAGGGCAATTTTGGATGTTCTCACTTTACAGGAGTTTTCTTTAGACATCGACATCCACAGGAACAAATTTAAAGTGACCAGGTCACATTTTAAAGAGTGTGTGGTATCTTCTCACCCACTAGTGCTGTAATTTCCAACATATTTCTCTAGGCATATTTAAACCAACATGTTTTAATGTCATTTTGCCTAGGAAGAATTGAACTTTCAGATTAGTACACTGCAATTTTGTGAGGGATATAACACACATGTTCAAAAATATCAGTGTTTTGGGGAGGGCTGCTCTGATGAGCCTTTGAGAGGGTGAGACTGCTCACCAACTAGAACCATCTTGCTCTTATCTATTATCTTGGTTTAGTTTTTGAGTACCCCCTGAGAAGGGTTCCTTTTGAGGAAGTTCTACTGTTAAGGAAAATTTGGAAACCAATGGACCAGATAACATCTTAGGGTTCCCCTTTCCAACTCAGAGAACATAATAACTGGAATCTCATAGTGACTCAGGGAGACAGACATTTTTTTAATCATCAACAATTACCCTGCAGGAGCATAAATTTAAAAATGAGACTGAAAAAAAAAAAAAAAAACTACAGGAGACTGTACTAAATGGATAGTAACCAAGAACAGAATTTGAGATTATTTTAAAACTTTAGATATGATTTTTATTTATAGTTTATCTTTTTTTCTTATTTCAAAAATGAAAGTGATTTGAACACACAGGTGTGTGTATTACAGGGCTGCATGTTTTTTTCTAACAGGTGAACTTGGTTTCAAAACACAGATGAACTAGATTCTAGTTTAAGGATTTACTATAATAAAACCAGTGTTTAGCCGGACTTCAGTTTTCAGCATTAAAACATTTCCTCCAAATTCTGGGGGAAAAAAAGCCAAAAAGTTAATTTTTAACAAGACTGTGCTTAAGAACTTCACTATTAAAGGGGTAGCTTTCTAGTACTGTACTTATTTTTGTATAGTTTACTGATTTTTGAATGAGGTGTGAGAATGAAAGACAGGAGTTAATTTTTGTCAGTCTCGCATAAGATTCTAAAAATATAGTGCTGAGGGATATTCGCGCTGTTACACAATAAATTTAACAGCAGTTTATACAGATTTAAATATAACTGAGTCTAACACGATTCTCCTAAAATGTGCAGATGAATAAAACAGTAAAAAATGGGCTCATAATATTGATGCAATATTTTCGTGTGACTATGATGCTTACTTAACTTTGACAGAAAGTTAAATTTTATAAGACCTGGAGGGATCGTAAACAGTTGAAAGTAAATTTTTCCATTTTAACAACGTATGAAAGATTTAAAAACCTAGTAGAATTATCCTTTTGTTCTCACTGCTGAGTAAAACAAAAAGAATCAATGGCATCTTAAAGAAAATTACCTATTACTTAAAATCTCACACATTCATTATGGGTGATTTGTTTTAGTAGAAACTGACCATAATACTGCAAACAAGGCTTTTGGTAGGTAATATCCATAATTATGCAAATATTAAATGACTGCTTCTGATAAGAACCTCTTCAGTGTTGAAGCAATTCACCTCACAGGACACTTAAGGGCTGTTTTTCATGCCTTGACGCACACAATGAATGGAAACACTAGGAAAATCCAGTGTTTTTCCAAAAGATAATTTTTAAAATTAAAAATAACAATTTTTGTATAGGTAACACACACATTTGGTCAAAAAAAAAAAAATCAAGTGCTACAAATGAGGGTGCAGTGAAAGAGCAGTCTTCCCTTCGCTCTGTCCTCTCCCAGATTCCCTTCTCAGAATCAAGTTCTGTTAATTTCTTGAATCTCCCCAGACCAATTCCCCATATTTACAAGCACACACACAAACTTTAGAAGACTTAAAAATAGTCTTTCATCTCTAGCTAGCCTACAACTGTAACTTAGCTTGACCCTTAAAATACTCTAGCATGTAAAACTACTGTAAGATTTACTGTACATTAAAAAGAAAAGCCAGATACTACACTGTTTTCACTGTTGGCTCTGCCATCAGCACAGAATCTTTTCCTGAAAGGTGCAACAGCTCAGTGCTTTACCACAGTGGCCAGAGAGGGCAGTGTGCACCAACGACCAAGGCAGAGGCAGAGAAGCTGCAAAAAAACCCCTTCATTCAGGAGGACCAGGGAATCTGTCCTATCCAGCTCAGTTCCCTGAAGTTGGGCAGGTAGGGCTCTAGACCAGGGCTGCTTCTCTCCTCAGCGGCTGCCCGGATGGACTGTCATGATGTTGATGACCTTAAAGCGATCAGGACAATGAGGCACATTCGGATAATGGAGCACCATCAGAAAAAAGAAAAAAAAAAAAAAAACCAAAAAACTACTGTGCATACACGATTTATTTTGAGAGAATAAAACAATCTTAATTTCCAAAGGAATGGCTATATAAATCGGATTTATATATAGGAAAACTATATGAAATTAACATCCGAGTTTTAAATTTTAATGTAATGAAGAAACCACTAGGAATTCATGGATGAGTGAAGTACGCACTAGGTAACTAGGTTACCTTGATACAAACTGTATCTGTTAAGTGTCCAGTGGGTAGTTAAACATTTTAAGTTGAACTGCTAAAAGCTCAATTAGGAATTCGGGAACATCTGGAAAGCAGGTAATTTGTCCAGTTAAAATTAAAAGCAAAATCACACTGAATTTTCTAACGAATCTGAGAAAAAAAAAAAAAGTGTTAATCCGGAATGGGGGGGAAAAAACACCCAACATTTGTCACTGTGCAAATACCGGGCTACAGGAAGCTCCACGTAACGCGGCTAGCACACTGCCTTAACTCCTGACCCAATATAAAAGCACGCATTTCACAGCAAGAGCGACGCAGCTATTCAGTTTTCAATTTCAATCAGCGGGGGGAAAAGGGGAAGCCCCGTTTCGGTGGTGGTTTTCCTCTGACGACCGAGCAAAAGGATTTATGCCACCCGAGTTTCGGAAGCAACTTTGTATCACAGCCTTCATTATCTACGCCAATATATTTCTATCTAAAATAACACCTCCAGGGAGACGCGAAGCCGCTGAGCACGTTCCGGAGCTTTGTGCGCTTGGCGAGCCGCTGTGCTAATTCCCGGTACGCGAAGCAGAGCGAACCCCGCAGGCGGCCGCGGCGCGGCGCTCCGAGGTCCCGGGAGGCGGCGGGCCGGGCCGGGCCGGGCCGGGCCGGGTCGCGGCGCCCGCAGTGGTGCCGCAGCCTCCGCGGCCGCAGCAGGTGGGACCCGGCCCGGCGCACAGGCCCTTCGGCCGCCCGCCGCCCGCCACCCGCCACCCGCCGGCGCGGGGCTCTTCGAGAGCTGCTCCGCGACGCCTCGGCGGGGGCTTTTATTGTCCGCGGGGAATGACTTTCTGTCATCAAAGGCCGAAGGAGAACGGCCTCGGCCCCACTTGCACGAACCCCACAACTTTGCAAAGCCATGAGCGGAATTGCAAGGAAGGGGCGCGAACGGCTCGGAGGGCCCCGCCGCGCCGCTGCTCCCCGGCCCCCCGCGCGCGCCCCGGAGCCTGCCGGCCCGCAGGAGGCTGGGGCAGCCGCGCCGGGCGGGCAGGTGCACCGGGCGGCCCGCGCCGACCAGACAAAGAGGCGCGCGGGCGCCCGGGAGCGACGCGGGGACGCCGGCTCCGCCCGCAGGGGGCGCCGTCCGGCCCCCGCGCTTACCTTTGAGGACCGCGCACAGCTGCTCCAGGGCCATGTTCCCGGGCGGCCCCGCGCCTCGCGAGGGGCCCAAGCGGCGGCGGCGGCGGCGGCGGCCAGCGGCGCTCACGGCCCGGCCCCCATCGCCGGCCCGCAGGCTGCCTCCCGCGGGGCAGGGCTCAGGTCCGGCCGCCCGCCATGCCCGAGCCCCGCGGCGGGCTCCCGCGCTGCCCGAGCCCCCCGACGGGCGCCGCCTCCAGCCCCGCGGCGCTCCGTCCCATCGGCCGCCCGGGAGCCCAGGCGCGCTGGCGCGAGGGGCAGCGCCCGCACGGCAGCTCCGAAGTGGCGGGCGCGGGCAGCCCAGGCTCATTTAAGCCGGGAGCGCGAGCGCCGCGTGCCGGCCGCGCCGCCTGCGCGCATGTGCCCGCCCCCGCCCCCGCCCCGCCCGCGTGCCCCCCGCGCCCTCCCGGCCAATCGCCAGCAGGGCCCGCCCGCGGCCTCGCGCCCCCGGGGGGCTGCGCGCCCGCGCCCGTTGGGCCGGGGGCGGGGCCGCGAGGGGCGGGGGCGAGGGGGCGCTGCTCCGAGCCGCGGGCGGCGGGCCGAGCCGGCCCCTCCCCCGCCGGGGGCGCCGGGGGGCGCGGGCCGAGCCCTCGAGGCCTCCCGCGCGCGCCGCGCCCCGCGTGGCCCGCCAGCCCGTCTCCTCTGCCCCCGCCGGCGGACGGGGGACCTGACCCCTCAGCCCCAGGGACCCCAGGTCAAGGTCAAAGCTCTGCCCCGCTCGCCCCTGCTCACAGCCTGCCGCGGGGGAGGGCGGGGGGGCTCAGGGACCCCGGCGTCGGCGTCGGAGGGCCTCGCCTCCCTCGGCGCCAGGGGAGTTAACCGGGGGCCCTGGGGATCCTGCTTCCCTGGCGGCCCGCACAGCTCCAAGTACTTTGCGCTTCGACTCTCTCTAATCCTCACACCCACCCCGTGCGGTAGGTACTGTTGGAGGATGGGGGTGACGAGGCCAGAAAGGTTAAGTAATTGGTCCAGAGGCGCCCGGCGAGGAGGGAGGCCGCGTTGTGAATCCGGGAAATCTGCCTCCAGAGACTGGCATCTTGTCCACTAAGCCGTGCTCATGGGGTCGCTTGACTCTGCTGATTAAAAGACGACAGAAAACCCCCATGAGCCCAAACCGGCAGACTGCATAATGTTAATTATCCCGTCTTATTTTTCTCACAGTAATGATCATGCTCTGAAATCATCTGGCTCGTCTTACTTGTTCGTCACCTATATCCCATTTACCCCTACACCGCTAAAATAAGAGCTGCTTGACAGCAGGAGGCTACATTCATATAGTCACTCAACACGTACTGAGTGTTAACTATGTGCAGAAAACAGTAATAGGTGCTGGTGAATAAAGACTGTGATTAAGGCTCTACCATAATGGAACGTTTGTGCCTGTATCTGACCCGTAATAGGAACTCCATAAATACTTGTTAACGAGTTATATAGTTAAGGACAATGTTAGGCAACTGAACAAATTCTAGGGATGTCAACCTCTTCCCTCTTTCCTTCTGTCCCTCTAAGAAAGGCACAAAAGTATTCACAACGTTTGAAAGTGAAAACATACTTAACAGCAATTAGCTAGCAAGATATTTAGCCCTTCATCATGTGCTATGGGCGGTGTAAAAGATGCGTATGGGCTGGTCCCCAAGACAAATCACCTACAAATCACAAGTCGCTTGTGAGATTGCACACAAAAACCAGCTGCTAAATAAAACATTTAAGATCCTTTCCCACAAATATAAAGTGACATATGGGAAGAGTAGGACAGTAGTAAGAGTGTTAAATGTAAGTCACAGTTAATGTGGACAGAAAGAATTAGGAGGAAGGAGCCCTCTCAACTTCTGGAACAGAATAGATTCTTAATGCATAATTGTTGACTGAAGAATCAGACTGTGATGTCATCAGGGAATGCTTCATGAAGGAGGACACAGAATGAAAAGTCTGTGGCTGGCGAATGCAGAGGAGAGAAGGAAGGAGAACTTTCAAGTCAGTCAAGGAGCAAGGGTTGGCATTGCATTCGGGGCAAGTGTTGTGTCTGGTGGTAAAGATAAAATAGAATATGGTGGGCTTTGATTGTGGAGATTCTTGCTCAAATGCTAAGCAGAGGGGTTTGGGCTTGATTCGGGAGGCCAGAGGCATAGTTTTTAATAGTGGAGTAATGCAGCTCTGGGAAGACCAATCTGGCAGTTCAGTTGAGGATATAGTGAAGGGGGCGGGTGTGTAGAGCAATTAATTTAAAAAGTACATACACAGGACTCTCATTTGGCCTAGTAGCTCTTACTGGTAGAACCATTTTGATGAAGCCTAAGAAGGTTTTTTTCCTCTAGGGTCTTGGCTGAGATGCAGATTCCCAAGGAGTAGATTGGGAATGCTCAGTTTTTGCTTCCTTTTAAGACACCTGTCTTTTGGCCGTGCTAGTGTAATTGTCTGTAGTGGATTTTTTCAAGGAACGTGATAAAGCACAGATCATAGCTGGGACTACTGTGTGGCCGTATGTTAACTAAATAAAAATGAAAGCACTTTGCATGTCTCTCAGTTGGAGAGTTCTGTATTTGAATTATTATTTCCCTGGAAGACCACCCAGTAGTGCTCAAGTCTGTTCCCAGATTACCTTCCAGTTCCCAGGTGATTGGGAACTCTGCTTTCATTGCATCCCTCCTGAGCTTTCAAGGCATAGGAATAGCCTCTCCACCTCCTCACAGAATCATAGTTTAAACTTGCTTTTCTCCGACTAAATCCCTTCTAGCACTTGAATGGTATGTAGCATTTACTTACTATGAAATGAGTCATTTAAAACATATAGCATTTTATCTCAATGCTTATATACCGAACAGCTTTTTGTTGTCTCTCTTTTCCACTAGAGTTTGGGAGCTCTAACATTTTATTAAATGATAGCCTAGGAAGGCAGGTTGTTATGTTTAGAGATTTTTATGAACTGAATGTTTGTTTCCCCTTAGAATTCATGCATTGAAATCCTAACCTCCAATGGCTATTTGGAGATGGGACCTCTAAGGTTAAATGAGGGTGGGGCACTGATCTAATGGGATTAGTGTCCTTATAAAAAGAGATACCAGAGAGAGCTCCCCTCTCCTTGACACTCCAGCACAAAGGAAATGCCCTGGGTGGACATAGTGAGAAGGTAGCAATCTGTAAGCCAGGAAGAGTTCTCACCAGAAGCTGGAGCCTTGATGTGGGACTTCCAGCCTTCAGAACTGTGACAAAAGAAATGTTGCTTAAGCCACACAGTCTATGGCATTTTGTTATGGAAGCCTGAGCAGACTAATGCAAAGCTATAATGATTAAGGAAGACAGAGGAATTTACATAACCTAGCTGATGTACAGAAAAATCTATTTTTACTGTTATGACAGGGGGGTCTCACACCACTTTTCTTACAGTGTATGGATATGGCAAGGGTGATGGCAAAACATGGTGAAAAGTGATACATTGTTATTATATATCTGTAGGGCTTTTTTAGGGAAAGAAAAGTGGAAAAGAAAATTTTTTTTTAAAGATTTTATTTATTCGAGAGAGAGGGACAGAGAGAGAGACAGAGAGAGACAGAGAGAAACAGACACAGGCAGAGGGAGAAGCAGGCTCCATGAGGGAGCCTGACGAGGGACTCGATCCCGGGTCTCCAGGATCAGGCCCTGGGCTGAAGGTGGCGCTAAACCACTGAGCCACCTGGGCTGCCCAGGAAAAAAATTTTAAGTCATATTATTCTGCTTGGGCTACCATAACAAAATACTACAGACTTAGTGGCTTAAACAATAGAAATGTTATTTTCTCACAGTTTTGGAGGCTGGAAGTCCAAGATCAAGGTGCATGTGGGCTTAGTTTCTGGTGATACTTCTCTTCCTGGCCTGCAGACTGCACACTTCTTGCTTTCTCTTACATGGCCCTTCCTTTGTGCACTGCCAACTCTTCATTTCTATTCCTGTAATAAGGACACCACTCAGATTGCATTAAGGTCCTACCCTTATGACCTCATTTGACCTTAATTATATGCTCAGAAGCCCAGTCTCCACATTCAGTCACATTGAGGATTAGAGCTTCAATATATGAATGTAGGGCATGGGGGACACAATTTAGTCCATATATTCATACAGTCATGAACCAAAACTATTTGTGTTGATGACTTTGAAGAGCTGCTTCCAGGGAGTCAACACGAGGCAGAGACACAGGCAGAGGGAGAAGCAAGCTCCACGCTGGGAGCCCGACGTGGGACCCGATCCCAGGTCTCCAGGATCACACCTTTGGCTGCAGGTGGCGCTAAACCGTATCTCAGCTTTGTCAAGAGAATTTCTGATCAGGTACTTTCATTTGATTGTGAAAAACCAAGAAAGATCCTAATGATATTTCTTAGAACAATATTGCTAACATATATGGTATCATTTTCTTTTTCTTTTTTTTTGAAGGGGGGGTGCAGAGAGAGAGACAAACACACTGTATATGTGTCTTAAGCAGGCTACACACCCAGCACGCAGCCCAACTCAGGGCTCTGATCTCATGACCCTGACTGAGATCATGACCTGAACTGCAATCAAGGGTCAGCACTTAACCAACTGAGCCACCCAGGCGCCCCTAGTGTCATTTTCTTATAAGCCAAAATCCCATTTTGAAATATCTGTTTACTTTATGCTTAAACCTGGTTACTGCAAACTGAAATGAATGCTTTTTTTATTCATAAAACATGAAACCATAATATGAAACTGTAAAATTCTTCATATATTTATTTGGTAGTGTTTGCTAGATAGACTAACTCTCATATGTTCAACTTAAGGCCTTGATGCACTGAATATTTGTGCTGCTTGCTATGTACTCCTATGCTATTAATGCTAGTGTGATTAGAATGCAAATATATTCAACTATATATTGGTGTTATTCAATTTTCATTTTTAAAGGAAGTTGTGTCTAAATTATTGCAATTATTAGCAACAAATCTCTATTTTTTATGATATATATAAGGTTTGTAATGAAACACTTTCTAGATATGTGATCTATGAAAGATTCTTTGGGAAACTTTTGTAAGATTTTTTAAAAATTGTGGAATACAATACATGGAAAAGTATCTAAAACAAACATGTATGTACAGTTTAATTATAAAGC